CATATCTAAAAAAGGACCTTTTATTGTCCTTGATATTTGTAGCTAGCTGGAGTTCCATCGCAGCCTTGGCTTTCCTGGTTTGCTCTGTGCAGGTCCAGACCACAGCAGAGTATTCCTCCTTGGTGGCTCCATCCTTTGTAGGTCTTCCTTTTAAGATGCAGGAAGTCCGCTAGTTCCCTAGAGAACCAAGGGGGCTGCTGTGCCCTTTTGCTGCCTTTCCTCCGAGACAGGATAGACTTTGCTTGTGCATCCAGGATCGCTCCCTTGAGGAGCAAGAACTCTTCCTGAACTCCCCTCCCCTTTGGGTTGTGGCCCTTTAGGGCCTCACTGACAAGCCTCCTTAGCTTGTCAAAATCAGCTTTCCTCACCCGGGCAGAGGACTTCTGTATTACTGACTGGCTTGCCAGCTTTACAGCAGATGGTAACGGTGATCAGCTTGTGGTAACTGTCACCCAGCTTCCCTTTGATTGTTAGGTCGCTGATTAGGTCATCCCCATTTGCCAAACCAGGTCGAGCAGCACTTTACCTCTTGTCGACTTCCTGCATCAGATAGAGCTCATCCACACGAGGGAAAGCTTTGCGAGTGCTCAGATTTGGCTGGGCGCTCCTCTCACAAGATGTCTGGGTAGGTAAAGTCTCCCATGACAACCATATACTAGGAGTGTGTGGCCTCAGCCAATTCCCTGGCAAACTCCTGGTCAAGGTCTTGACCCTGGATAGGGGATCTGTAGTAAACCCCCACCATAGTATTCCCTGTGCCGTGTTCCCCACAGATTTTAACCCAGAGGGTCTCCAGTCGTCCACCGTGGGTGCCAATGTTGGCTTGCAGGGATGCATAGCTTTCCTTGACATACAGAGCTACACCCGTGCCCCTTTTGTCCACTTGATCCCTCCTGTACAGAGTATAGCCATCTATACCTGTGGTCCAGTCATGGGTTGAATTTATTACTCTTTTTAGTAGAATTCTCAGTGGTGAGTTCCCACTGTAGTTAAATAACAGAACGAGGAATAAGATTACAATATGATAACAACTGACATCAGTCAAGAGAATGAAAATGCAGATTAAAGACATGGAGGCCCATTATTTCTTTGTTGTAGACTATTTTTAAGTTACATAATTCTTTCTTACCTGTCTTCTTTAATCACATCTACAAAATGTGCATCTGTCTTCTCTCTGATGTTTTTAAACCTCAGTGGAAGAAGTGCTGACTGATCCAAGCTCACTCCTACCCATCTTCCTTTCTCTTGCAACATTTCATAAAGTGATGTCTGGCTATTGCTGAGCTTTTCTTCCTGTGGAGGACTCAAAAGTCCATTCTGGGTCTTCGGACTGTGTCCACCAGGAACCTGCTTCATAACAAGTGAATATATGCATACGAAAGGTTAATTATTAGAGAAAAAATACAAACAGCACATAGGTTTTATGAAGTACAGGAAAATATTAGGCTCCACAATGAGCACTAATTTAACTTCTGTTTATGCTTAGGCTTCTATTTGTGTACATCAAAAGCTTGACCCTCCTTATACATAAATCACAGACATACTAAACCACAATGGAATGTGAATATTTCACTCTATCATAATCGTTTACAGCAAATACACTGACATTTTTTTGTCCTTCAAAAATGGAAAGCATGGCCAAATGAGAAAATCAGAAAGTTTACAAACTCTGGCAGATCAAATGTAAAAATGAAATAAGGCAGGACAAGGAAAAAAATGAGGAGCCTCTAGCAAAAATGCTAAAGTTAATAATAAAAACTTTTAAAAATACATCAGAAGCAGGAAACCAACTAGAGAATCAGTAGAACCATTAGATGACCATGATATAAGAGGTGCACTTAGGGATGACAAGGCCATAGCAGAGAAGCTAAACAAACTCTTTTCATTGGTGTTTATTACAGAAGACACTGGGAAAATTCCCATATTAGGCTGAAGAATTGGCCATGTTAAAGGTGACAACAAAAGACGTTTTAGAACAGATCAATAAACTACATACTAATAAGTCACCAGGACTGGATGCCATTCACCCACAGCTCTGACGGAACTCAAAGGTGAAACTGTAGAACTGTTGGCAATAGTATGAAACTATCATTACAAATGGCCTTTTTGCCAGAGCACTGGTGGATTGCCTACAGAACACCCAACTTCAAAAAGGGTTACAGTGATGGTCCTGGGAACCCCAGACAATGAGCCTCACTTCCATCCCTGGCAAGTTGATAGAACCAATAATAAAGAATAAAATCAGCAGTCACATGGATAAACGTGATCAGTACAGTTTTTGCAAAGGGAAATTCTGCCTCACCAATCTACTGCAGTTCTTTGAGGGTGTCAACAAGCATGTGCACAAGGGGGATTTAGATGACATACTATATATTTGGACTTTCAAAAAGCTTTCAGCAAGATCCCTCACAAAAAGCTTTCAAAAGAAAGTGGACTGCCATCAGATTGGTGGAAGGTTATTTCATGGATTGAGAGCTGGTTAAGATAGGAAGCACAGGGTAGGGTTAAATGGTCACTTTTCAGGATGGAGGGAAGTCAAAAGTGGGGTCCCACAGGGATATGTGGTGGGTCCAATTTTGTTCAAGATTTTCATCAATGGCCTAGAAATGGGGGTGCACAGTAAAATCTCCAAGTTTGCAGATAATACTAAATTATTGCAGGTAGTCAAGTCTGGACCTTTACTTGGAACCATAGAAAATTAGGCTGTAAGTGATTTCAGGAGGTCACCTAGTACAATCCACTGCTCAAATCAGGACCATCCCCAGATCTGCTCCCATGCCTGCTCCCATGCCCTCCTGGACCAGCGGTCCTCCCCTCCGTCCACCACAACAGACTTACCAGCCAGAGGCAGCTGTGTCCAGTGTGGTCAAGGACGACTGCCTATTTAGTCTCAAGTTGCAGCAAGGGAAATTTAGATTAGATATTAGGAAAAACTTTCTTATGAGTAGTAAAGCACTGTTACAGCCTATCTAGACAGTCTATGAAATCTCCACCCTTAGAGATTTTTATGACCTGGCTAGACAAAGCCTTGGCTGGGATGACATAGTTGGGGGATGGTCCTGCTTTGAGCACAGGGTTAGACTAGATGGCCTCCTGAGGTCCCTTCCAGCCCTAATTTTCTATGATTCCATGATTGCACAAAGGAATCATAGAAAATTAGAATGATTGGAGGAAAATGGGTAAAAGTAGTGCAGGACACTGGATAGCAGAAGCATGCAGTGATAGCAAACTATACAGAAAATGGACTTGAAACAAGTTCCAAGAATATACAAGAAACCGATAAGATAGTGGCTAGCATGGCACTGGCATGCAACACACTCAATAAAGTCTGTGTTGTGCAGTCTTGCCTTTTTTTTTTTTTGCTCAAAGACTGTGTATCACAGTCCTAGAGAAGCAGGGCTGGAAAGGACATCCAGAGGTCATGTAGTCCAACCCTGTGCCTGAGCCAGAATCCTCCCTGTTCAAACCATCCCATAGAAACCATAATCTAAATTCTGTGTAAGACGATCCACAACACAGACCCAACAACCTAACCTACCACAGGTAAAGCAGAGGAACAACAGCAGCCAAAGTCCTGGTTGTATGAAATGTTGTCAATATATGGTCAAGGGATCCTGAGCAGAGGGCCATGCCCCCTGCTACAGAGGCAGGAAAAAATCACCACAGTCCATACTAATCTGACCGTGAAGTAAAATTCCTTCCTGACCTCAAATATGGTGATCAGTCTGACCTGGAGCAGAGGGGCAAGACCCTCTAGCCAGTAACCTCTGGCTTTGCTCCCAGCAGAAGTATTGGCACACCTCAGTCAAACACCCCAGCCTTTTCTGTAGCCAACACCCAGGGCCTCTGAAGGAGGCTGATACATGTAGCAGAAGCAGGGCGTTAGGGCAACCAGCAAAATCCAGAACTATGGAAAATTCCCATAGTAGAACATAGGCATAGTTATGCCTAGATTATCCCTGATCAGTGGTTGTCCAAACTCTTCTTGAACATTTTTAGTGATCAAGAGTCCACAGCTTCCCCAGGCAATCTATTCCACTGCCTCACTATTCTAACGATGAAGAAGTTTTCCCTAATATTCAATATAAATTTACTTTGCTACAACTTCAAGCCATTGCTTCACATCCTCCTCTCTGTAGTAAGACAGAAAAGGTGTTTTCCCTCTTTTATGGCAGCACTTAAAGTATTTGAAGACTATTATCATGTTCCCTCTTAAGTGCCTTTTCTGCAAGCTGAATGTGCCTGGATCCTTCAGCCTCCCCTCATGACTTGCTTTACAAGCACTTTATCAATGTCCTTTGATACTCATCACTTCATTAAGTTTATTGCAAGGTGTGGTTTCTTGAAAAGTGTGGAAGTCTGGAACATCTTGCTCCTGAAGGGACATGTTTCCCCCAGGAGAAACTGAATGAATGTAGTTTCTGCTGGGACACCAGCAGTTCTCCTGGTGGAAAGGTATGGTTGGACAAGACCCTTGACTTGACAAAGACTGATAAACTGCATGACTATACCATAAGGAACACAGAAACAGAACTAAGAGAGGGATTATAAAATAAAGCCAGTCTCTTGGGAAGGAGGGCTGCCTAAGAAAACCCACAACCATACTCCTCAAGAAACCTGAGATGCCTAAGTGGGAAGACCTGGGAACCAAGTTGTTTTTTTTTTTTCTTGTGTGGACCCCATTTTCATTTAAGCAAGCATCCTAAATTCACCAGACAGGCACCTGAATGGGTCTCTTAACTTTCCCTACAGAAACATTTTTCTTCCAGCTACCCACTAGTACTAGTGTAGAAAATGCCAGTAATGTCAACCACTGCTACCATGGATGGAACTGCATTGACAGAAAATTTGAAGAAAGACTGAAGAAAAGGCAGCCTCTCTGGGAATTCTGTTTGCTGTACAAAGTCTCTGATGGTCAGTAACTCTTACACTCTGGCACTTAAACAGAAGCACACTGGGTATAATCATCCTCCACATACCACCTTGTCATTTTTGAAGAATCATATAACATAGACAATATCTTGTGTCTGAAAGTAAAGCCTCCTGCGTTCCTCGGGACCACACTGAAATTCTCCAGCCACTCTGATGTAAATTTACAAGAATGAAAGTTTGTGGTTGTTGTTCATCAACATTGCCATATTGTATACGTCCTTGTCAGAAACCAAGGCCCCACTGTTTTACCTGCTGTACTAGCACAGAACAAGATGGTCCCCTCCCCCAAAGACCTTATGATCTAAGTCAGGGATCGGCAACTATTTCCAGCGGTGGACCAGAAAACCCATCCCCGGTCAGAGGTGGATAGTCAGGCAAGCACTAGGACCCTGTTGCTACTGCTGTAGCTTATCCCTACAGCAGCACAGAAACAGTGCTCATAGCTAAAGCCCTGCCACCCTACTCCCAACCACTGAAGCCCCATGTTTGTGGGCTGGATGCAGCTCATGGGCCATACGCTGCTGATCCATGATCTGTGTACAGGATAAGAAATCGCAAATAAATATAATCAGACACAGTGTAAGGAAATGAGATATATTAAACAGCTCCCCAAGCAGTGGTCTCTGCATATCACCTGTCAGGGCCCCTGTGGCACCTCTTGGAGGCCTGCCAACCACCTACTCCAGCCCTGCCTGGGCCTTCCCATGAGGCTTCTAATAGGGATCAGATGTCCTGGGGGGCAATGGTAGCAGTAAGTCCCTGATGGGAGGGCTATAAAACCCTCCGACTTCCAGCAAGGTCTTATCCCTTCAATACTCTTAATAACCCTACTCCTTGCCTGACTCATGTATTCCTGCTCGTCTTGAACCTCCTGGCTTACATTTCCAGTTATGAAACCCTACCTAACTCATTCTTTGTCTCACCTCTGCCTCAGACTCTCCTGCTTTGCTTCCAAACTTGTTCCTGCCTTAGACCAAAGTACCCCATTCCTGCTTACCCTATCCAGCATATTGGATTCCCTGGCTCCTGACTTCTGGCCTGCTCTTGACTGTGGGCCCATTATGAGCCCCTGCAATGATACAGCGGACTTGGACTGACACCTGGTATTATGACCCTTAACATTGGCTTGGACTTCCAATATTGTTGATCCTCAGCTTCTGTGTCCTGACCCCCCATGTCCAGGATGTGCCCATGACACTAGCACTTTAAATCTTGTCATGCTTCGTGTAAGCATTGTGGCAAGGTTAAATTTTAAGGAGGGATTTGAAGGAAAACAATGAGGAAATTTACAAGGAGCTCTTCCAAAGCATGAGGGGCAGCATGAGTTAAAAAAACAAAGTTATTTGTTTAAAAATTCAACAACTGAACAATGGAAATTGGCATCACAGGCCAAATGGAGGTATAAGGTAGGGTAGGGCTGGGGAAAGGGTATGGAGGCTCTGAATTATGTTTAGAACAGTATTCTGAATGGGTAAGAGTGGGACAAAGTTATACTCATCAAAAGCAGAGAAAGAGGTTGTGCAGTAATGGAAATGAGATGATGACAGCCTGGAGGAGCATTTTAATTGTGTGCATCAGCTGTCTGTTAAACCTGATGCAGAGGAATCAGGAAAATATATACAGAATGGGAAAATGTTACCTTAGTACTGTTTTTATGTTCATCCTGACAGCCATTTTGGATAGCTCCTTCCTCTATACTGACATCACAGTTGGTGGCAATTGTAACACTACATGAAGGGCAAGTCTACAAAAGACAAAAAAAATAAAATCAGAAATATTCGGATATCATAGCAGCATCCAATTCATAATGGGCCCATTTTCACCACAACAAATTTAATCTAAAAGCAGTATGTATTTGAAGGTTTCCTTTTATTAAGCATTTCACAAACTGTAACTGCAGCTGGAGATGGCTTGCAGTCCTTAAATAATATTCTGAATTTTTGCTGTGTGGTTAAGAGAAAAACAACAGAATTGAAAATACTGAGCTTAAAAGGGGACAAGGTCTAAGCAGAGGCGACCCGAGCAGGGTGCGAGACCTGGGGCAAATCAGCCTATGTGGGGCCTCACCCCTGCTCTGGGTCCCAGACCCGAAGAAGCTGCCGCCGCCATCGGCATCAGCAGTGTAGGGAGGGGGTGGGTAGCAAGTGGCTGGACATGGAGCCACTGTTCTGTCCATCTCCATGCTGCTGCTGCTGCTCTACAGGGCCCCCCAAAGTGCAGTTGCCCTGATTTGCACCCCGCTAGGGAAGACCCTGGGTCTAAGTCTTAGAGCTTGCTCCCTTTTAAGCTCTGTATTTTCAATCTAAAAAGTAGTTAAAATGATTTTAAATGAAAAACATAAAGACCATAAACATTATAATGCCATGCGTAGGACTTGCTGATCTTGTCTGCATGATTTTGGAATCACAAAAATTTTCCAATGTTTAAATGGGGTCGTGCTGAGGAAAATTGTGGGAAGCTGTGGTCTAAAGGTGTCAGAGAACAATCCCAGAGAAGCATTCCTGCTGTACACAGCTGCACCAACAGACTTCCATCCTTTTTTCCACCACAGGAAAATATGTATGAGTAAAAGTGCAGTATTGTTAGTATGACTGTCTTCACAAATATCTGGGTGTCATTATACAAGCTTAATGAAGATTTAGCTCGATGTTTGCCGGTGGTCCCTCAAAGTTGAGGATGACGTCTGTCAGGCTTGATGGGTCCTCAGGTGACTGAGGTGCCCAAGTCTGGATGCGCACACATTCTTCAGCAATGGAGGCATGTTGTTGCATGGGTGAGTGGGATTTGCAGCCCCAGGTTGGTATCCTTCTCCTTCCTCCGCTGCTGCCGGTCCACCTCATTATCGAGTCATTGGGCCTCGAAGTGGCACGCACCTTGGTGGACCAGGTAGCACCACATCAAACAGTCAGCAGGTTGCTCCTCCCAGCCATTGGTGTTGATGCCTCCATGCTTGAGGGCGACCTTGAACATGTCTTTGTACCGTTTCCTTTGGCCGCCCTTTGAGCGTTGGCCAATGGAGAGCTGAGAGAAGTGACTCTGGTGAGGGAGGCGGTTCTCAGACATCTGGACACAGTGGCCCGTCCACTGGAGTTGATTTCTCAGGAGCAAAGCTTTGATGCTGGTGGACGGAGCTTCATGGAGAATGTCCACACTGGTCCAGCCATCCTCCCATTTGAACTGCAGGATTCGACGAAAGCAGCACTGGTGAAAGCTCTCAAGGGTCTTAATGTGGCATTGATAGATGGTCCAGTTTCACTGCAGTAGAGAAGGGTGGTCAGAATGACAGCCTTATAAACCAGGACCTTCGTTGACTTCTGAAGATCTCTATTTTTGAAGACACGTTGTCGTACCTTGAAGGCAGCAGCACTGGCGCAGTTGACCCAGTGCTGGACTTCTTCATCAATGGTAGCCAATTGAGAGAGGTGGCTGCCAAGATACGGAAAGTGCTGCACATACTCCAGAGCCTCCTCATCTATGCAGATAGCACGAAGGATGTTCAGCTGGCCTGGGAAGGGTTGATGGAGAACCTTCATCTTGGTGACGTTCAAGGACAGGTCAAGTCTCTTATATGAAGCATTTAACACATCTAGGCTCACTTGCACATCCTGGTCAGAATGAGCCATCACACAGCAATCATCCACAAACTGAAGGTTGTGGATGTCCCTGGTGGTGCATTTCGTTTTCGCCCGGAAGTGCCCAAGATTGAAAAGCTTCCCATCTAGTTACTGGATACTAATGCCAGATGGTAGATCATCTCAGATGAGGTGGATGATGATGGTCAGGTAGATGGTGAACAGGGCAGGAGCGATCGTGCAAACTTGTTTGGTTTGGATACGGAAGGCGTCAGTTTCAGATCTTCTACTCAGGACGGCAGCGGTCATATCATCATGCAGGAGTCTCAGCATGGTGACAAACTTCAGCGGGCAGCCAAGGTGTTGGAGGATGGTCCCCAGAGCTTCATGATTTAAGGAATCGAATGCCTTGGTCAGGTCAATGAAGGCGAGGAACAGTTCTTGATTTTGCTCCCTACATTTTTCTTGGATCTGCCTGGCAATGAAAACCATGTCTGCAGTGCCCCAGGATGGTTGGAAGCTGCACTGGGTTTCCAGAAGGATATCCTCAGCAACAGGACAAAGGTGTTTCAGGAGGATGCAGGCCAGGATCTTACCTGCAACGGACAGGAGGGAAATCCCCCGGTAGTTCCCACAGTCAGATTTGTCCCCCTTCTTGTAGATGGTCATGTTGGCTGCATTCTTGAGATCCCCAGGGATGTCTTCTTTGTCCCAAAGGGGGAGGATAAGCTGATGGAGTCGTGATGTGAGCCGGAGGTCACCAGCATGGTAAACCTCTGTGGGTATACCATCTGGCCTGCAGGCTTTATTGGTTTTCATCTGTTGGATGGCCCACTTCAGCTCTCCAGTGGTTGGTGGATCACTGACGGAATCCACCACAGGGCGTTGCCATCTTTCACCGAGTTCATGGATGGCTTTACCAGGGGATGAAGGCTACATGCTTCTGCTTGAGGAGATCGCAAATCTGAGCATCACTGGCGTTGAACCAGTCCTGGTTCCATCACAATGTGAACCCAATAGCATGGGCACAGGCGTCTTGAACAGCAGACATGAGTTGCTCCCAGTGTGCCTGGATGGAGGTGTCATCAGCAGTAAGCACTTGCTCCAGTGTACTATACAACTGGGCCTGGACCTCCTCCCACTGTCCAGGGTCCTTCAGAGCTGCGATGTTCAGCCATCTCTGGGCAGTCTTCTGAGTCTTCCAGTGTCTTGGTGCCAGGCAGATGTTCATCACAAAGCGCACACTGCTGGTGGTCCACCCAGCAGTCTTCAGATCCCTTCATGGCCCTCATAACAAGCACGTCTCTCAGGTCTCTCTACCTTGGATGACAATATAGTCCAAGAGGGGCCAGTGCTCCAACCTCGGATGCCTCCACATGGTTTTGAGCCGGTCTTTCTGGTGGAAGACAGTGTTCGTCACAATCAGGCCATGTTGGGTGCATTTGGTCAGAAGCAGGATACCGTTGGCATTGGCCTTCCCCATGCCATTCTTGCTGATAGTTCTGCTCCAGATTTCATGGTCACGTCCAACCCAGGCATTGAAGTCATCCAGGAGAATGACCTTCTCATCCCTGGGGATGGAGGCAAGGGTGTTGTCAAGATCAGAGTAGAACCTTTCCTTGACTTCCTCATTGGAATCCAGAGTCAAAGCATATGTGCTGATGACAGTGGCGCGTTGGTTTTGGCTAAGGTGCAGGCAAAGGGTCATCAGCCTTTCATTGACACCTGAAGGGAAATCGGGGAGCACGTCAGCAATCTTGTTCCTAACAGCTAGTTTTGTCACCTTGTGGTGGAGAGGCTTGCATATTTCAACAGCTCCGAGAGCGATGCCGTCCAGAGCTCACGCTCCTGGTAGGGCCACCCATTGCGGTAAAGTCGAGGGCGAGGTTCCAGACAAAGAATGATCCAAGAAGTCCTCAATGGCGGAGCAGACAGAGAAAGGCTCTACCCCCAGTGGCTGCTAAGGCGGAAGAAGGCTGCAACCGAGAAGTGGCTCCAGTCATTGTGGTTCGCCACACCACTGAACCCAGCCACCAACCGCCAAGACTGTGCGGACCCGACTGCACACTGGAGTCCCCACACTAAACATGCCATGCATGGGCTTCCATCAGGTCCAAAAGCCCTGTGGTGATGGAGGATTGGCGACAGGAGCATAGCTGTAATACCTGAAGGCCCCCAAACAAGAATCTGCACACAGGTGGCAGATGCACAATGGTCGTCAAGCACCTATGTCAGGACGGGGTGTCCTTCAGCAGCTACGTCTGCAACTGAGCAGTTACGTCTGCGACTGAGGATGCCCTCTGCTCACCCAGATGGGGAAGAGGCTAGAAAAGGTGCCCCAAAATAGGCTGTCCTGTCTCTTCTGGCTGGGAAACTACACCCAGCGGGATCATCATTCCTGTGATCGAAATAAGAAAAAGCTAAACTTTGGAACCTGGAATGTGAGAACACTCATTGACAACCCAAAGAGTGATTGCCCAGAAAGACGAACTGCCATTGTGGCTCGGGAGCTAGTAAGGCACAACATTGACATCACTGCTCTCAACGACACCTGGCTCGCCAGGGAGGGACAACTGAGGGAGGTCAGCAGAGGGTACACCTTCTTCTGGAAAGGCAAACCAGACTGCGACCCTCGTATCCACGGAGTCAGTGTTTGCTGGTGGTCCCCTGAAGTCGAAGATAAGGTCCGTCAGGCTTGATGGGTCCTCAGGTGACTGAAGTGTCCGATTCTAGATGAACATGTTATTTGGCAATGGGGGCATGTTGCTGCACAGAGGAGTGGGATTCACAGCCCTGGGTTGGTCTTCTCCTTCCTCCATCACTGCCGTTCTGCCTCAGTACCAAGTCATTGGGCCTCAAAGTAGCACATGCCTTGGCGGACCAGGTAGTGCCATGCCAAATGATCAGCAGGTTGCTCCTCCCAGCCATTGGTGTTGATGTCTCCGTGCTCGACCGTGAGCATGTCTTCGTACTGTTTCCTTTGGCTGCCTTTGAGCATTGGCCAATGGAGAGCTGGGAGAAGAGAATCTGCTGAGGGATGTGGTTCTCAGATATCCAGATGCAGTGGCCTGTTCATCGGAGTTCATTTCTCAAGAACAAGGCTTTGATGAGAAGGTCCCTAATAATTATGAGAATTATTAGAGAATGGAAAAAACCTGGAGACTGAAATGACTGGATTATTTACTTCAGAAAGAAGATAACTTTGGGGACAGAGAAAATGACATGACAAAAGTAAAAAAAATTATTTATATTTCAGAGAAGACAAATCAGGAGTTTTATTCTCATCTTACAAGAAAGAGACATTAAATGAAATTGGAATTTCAAGATTGGTTAAAAAAGGAAATAAGTTTTCCATACAGTAAAATTAGACTGTGGATGCCATTAAGGCCAAAATTTAGCAACATTCGAGACAGTTTATTTCAAGTTTATATGGATGTTTATATAGAAATCAAAGTTATCAAGTTCTAACAGTTAATATTAAACACATTTTGGAATACAAAATCTCATGTTTCTAGTTCTAAGAATAAGGATTGCTATTGAGAATTAGGATGTGTTTACTGTGGACACAGGAGAGGTTTCAAAATTTTTGGAAATCTTTCTTCTTGGGTCCACTCATTTTCGTTGCATCACATGCCCACTTCAGGGCCTGCGTTAACCTATTTTCAGGATGTTCTTTCTAATTATCTTGGACGTTTCTATATCAATATTATAGATACAATGCCAAAGGCTTTAAAAGAGATTATTACAAACAGACCAACAAGCCCTATCCCCTCCAAGATTGTTAGACAATAAGCTTATCAACTGAAGTTTGTTAATGCTGAAATTTTAAAAAGTAACACCCTCTACTTTTGCTAATAACCAACTGAAATCCTCACAAACAGTCAGTGCCTGGGGCTAGATTAGAAGAGAAAACCACAAAAGGGGAGCATAATCTTTTGCAAACAGAAAGAAGTTTGTCTGCAGTGTATGTATATAGACAAGTCAGTGCCATGGTTGTAATTACTTATTCTAGATATTCATAAATAACCAGCCAGTGTGTGGGCCAGACACAATGAATAATAGATTAATGTTTTTCCCAGAACAACAGAGCAGGCATAACCACATACTAATTTAAGTCTTTGGTGATTATAACACTTCTATAGTAGATTATGATTTATAATAATAGCAAAAGAATAAGACTGCCAAATATGGTGATTGCCAAAATACATATTGTAATTACTCGAAACCAAGATGAGGGATTTATCCCAATCAGCATGAGGGAGGGGAGGGGAGGGAAGATGGAAGCCTCATTTTGTATTCGAGTACTAGACTGAGGCAGGTGGTAGCTCAGCTCTGGCTTTGGCCTCAGGCTTGGGGCTGAAGCTGAGCTGTCACCTGCCTTAAAGCCAGAATGGCTCATTTGTTGAGGAAAGGGAATGTGCCTGGCGAGACGTGCAGGTGAGTATAGGGTGGTAGTAGGGAACCTACAGCCTTCCCCACTACCCCTTACCCCCTGTGCTTGCAGTAGCAGCAGGAGTAGTTAAATTGTTGTGTGTGTGTACATTTGTATCTCTGTGTATGTTTAAACTCTAAAGCCTACTAGGGTCTGGCTGGCAAAAAAAAAAAAAAAAAATCAATTGCTTGCCTTTTTGTTTTTTTTCAAAGGAGAGAATTACCACTGTTTGAATACCCTGATTGTAGTTGAAAACTGCTGAACAAATCTATCCTATCTCCAGTCACAACTAGTTTTTGACCAGAGAACTGACAAGTAACACATTCAAAGAGAGAGTTAGGGAACGTCTTATGCTTGAAACTTCTTGTGGATATTGTAAATACACATTAAGTGATACCCAACAACTGTTGTGTAAGTAGTGCATACACAAAGCAGAGTTATCTCGTGACTAAGGTAATTTGACTTCATCTCACTGCATTTTCACAGAACTGTAATGTTCCTAAGCAAGCATGTCAAAATTTAAGTATCCAGTAATAGTGACCCCAGAATATTAGATGGAGTGGAAGTAACCAAGACAACCCAGGTAGCAAACAAGGCAGTGTGGGCTTTGGACAGACTTTGTAGGGGTCCAACAACTGTTCCAGGATGGGGATGCATCCACTTATCTTTTTTTTAATGTGCATTTATCTGCAAAGTATAATTCTTAACAAAAAAATTCTGTTTGTAGATGCAAATCACTTTGATATGAAATAATAAAAATGAATCTTCAACCAATTTCGAGTACCAGCAAGTCCCTAACACTGGTACACTTTTCTCCCAAAATGAGACTTCATTGCAGAGTCTGATAGCAACTAGGAGCAAGTACTTTCCCTAAGACTTGAAGCTCATTCTTATGGATCAGCTTAGCCAGGTTTCTTTTTACCATACTCTCATTGTCAGTTAAGTACTGAGAAAGTTTAGCTGCCCTGATTAGCATTTTCTCATCTCCTCACAAGTGAAGCAGCTTCAGTTTTTGCTCCATTTAATTAGGGCTCCTCTGACCATCTTTACTTGCAGACGGTAGCACAACACAACTGGGTCAGTAGCAAATTTTAAAGCTAACCATATAGACTGAATACTACCTGTCTGGTAATTAGATGACCGATGTTCAGGGATCCAGATTTTCCATTTCCCATGGAAAAACAGAGTAAAATGAGGATTTCTCTCCTTATTGGAGTAAAAAGTGGATTTCTCATTTTAGCAGAAAAACCCACAAATTTTACAGTTTTGCAGCAAGCTCTCTGCAGGCTGGCAGAGTTCCAGCCTGTAGGGGGTTGGAGGGAGCAGGAGGAG